TTGTAGGTAAGGAATACAATATTGGCTCGATATATAAGTGATCATACATATTATAAAGAAACATGCAATCCCTCCCTTGCGGGTTGCAATAACATTTTTCTCTCTCTCTCTCGTTGGAGTGAATTGTATGTCAAGCTCGGAAGTATGTATGCAGTAAAAATGCACGAGAGTATCGCTGAAGCGGTGTGTACGTATGTGGTTCGAAAAGAGCTTATAGCTGAGAATAGTGGTGAAAACGAGAAGCCTGCAATGGCAGAGGGCCAGAAGCAGGAGAAAGGGATGGTCAAAAAGAAAAGGGGGAGGTGGTCTGTTTTGTCATATATTCTTCTTTTCTGGGTCAGAGGGTAAAGGGGAAAACGAAAGCACCCGACTGAAACCGCCCACTTTTGGCTTCTCAGTTTAACTTACTGTTATTACTACTTCACCCCTCTCCTCCCATGGAAAACCAAGCATAGCAAAGATCCCAATGTCCAATCAATTGTAATGGCAATGGCAATGGCACGATCCAGCAGGTATCTCAATACTCATACAAACCCAGTTCGGATTAGATAATATATCACGTAACACAGATCAGTATAGGTCAATCCATATGAACATGTACTTTAAAATAAAAAAAAAATATTCATTTTGTCAGTAAAAAACCTAAGAAACAAACTATAATATGATATATATTTGAACTATTGAGAATTTACAACTTCGTTAATGAGGTAATAAAATAAAAAATTCTAAATAATTTAACGAAAAGCACATGTATTTAATTTAGACAAATAATGGGTCGAGAACAGAGTATGTCAAGACATATCAGGTTGAGGAGAGCTATATGCACATCCGCCCCGCCCCGTCCCACCTCCGCTACGAGTATTATCCGTCCCAGAACAAGTCAAACAATTCGGTTAAAACGGGTCAAATCGGCATTGCCCTCCCTCCAACCAATAAACAAAAAGCGAGGAAGGAAGAAAGGCAGGCGAGAGGAGGCCAGCCAAGCCACATCATATATCAGAGCTAGCATCCACTACCTATCTAGGTAAAGGTAGTAGTAGTAGTACACTTGACATTCTTTTTTCACACATTTCAGTCGTGTGATTCATCATATCGTCAATGTCACTTCTCTCATCGACCAAATATATAATGGGGAGCAGAAAATCGATTCATTTATTCTTCTACAGCCATTATTGTAAATAAACGAGACTAATAATTTAGAATGTATCAGCATGTATGCATGGCTTGACTGTTACCCTTTAATATTTTTAATGTTTCCAATGTTGAACGTAACTGTAAAGGAAGTAACGGTTTCTAGTAGTTTTGCTCTAGTTTTTTTATTTTTAGTTTTTACCAACCGAATTCAATGTTGGCCCGTGGTCCTGTCTTTTTTTATTTTTACTTTAGGATTGTGATTCTCAAAGGTTTATTTTGTCCAATTCGGTTCATTCCACATCTTGACTCTCTATTACTAACACTTTAATCAATGACCACGTGTAACCACAGATCAAGGAGTAGTAGTGGAATGAAGTATTAATGTCAACTCGAGTCTCTAGATGTACTATTTCTTAGTGAATTATCTATTATTCAGCAAACTAGTTGTATTGAAGTTTACTAAACCTAATAAAACAAATCAAAGACAGTTGTTCGATTTTAGTTATGAGAAAGATCACTCAAGTATGAATCCCCCTAGCATATAGCTTGGCCAAAGTTATAATTCCCTTAGTTCAGTGCACTGATAGTTATACTGCGGGAGATTCAATATTAGATCGGAATCTCGATTAAAGCATAACAAGCCGTCTTAAACATATTCACCAGCAGGGGGATTATCGTCAACGGGACTAGGATGCCAAGGCAATGCAAAATAGACCTCCTCTGCTAGAATGGATTTTAGCACAGAAAAGTGAATAGATTCACTTTTCGAGCAATCGACTGACCACTTCCAATTGAAGTTCCTCTCTTAACCTAATATGATATTCTCTCTCCTAGGTTAAAGCAGTAATCAAAATAATGTGATAAAGACTCAATCAATTGTGAATAAGGCCTCAACTTAATATAACTTAGCAATTCAATGATCAAAGGGTTCATACAATCATATTCTTAACACCCAGAACTAGGGTTCTTACCAGTGAAGAAGGAGATTACTCCATGGAGAGAGAGGAGAACAAGAAGGATGTAATAGAAATCATTATGATCTGATCCAAGTCGTCGTCCGCCACTCCAACAGGGTGAATCTGAGCTTCAATCGTCAAATGAATGCTCAAATAAGCTCCAAGAGTGAACTTTCCGTCACTTTCTCTCCGTAGAAGTCTCTCGAATCAATTCCATATCAAAGAACTCATATTCTTAGCAAAAAAACCAGAAATTCCTTTTTATAATTGCTGCTGGTCATTACACGACCGTGATTTCCTTGTTCTAACCGCGTAATTCACAAAATGCATCGTTCCATTTATTCTTGATGATTGCACAACACGGTCGGTTTTTTGTTGCCCCATCTAGTGTAATCTTCCTTGATTTCCCTAGATAGCTTGCACGACCAAAATGCTGAAAATCCGGCTCATGCTTTCTCTGAACCCAGTCCTTATTTTCCTTAAGGGTTTACACCGTCCATCCTCCAAATTACATGGTCTGTGTTTCCTCAACCTTATCTCGTGTAGCATTTTACACGACCACGTGTAACCCTGGCTGTGTTTTCTTATGCTCCTCTATGGTTCTAAGTCCATGAACACATAGTTTGATATTTGATAGTTAACCTAATTATTTTTTGATTTAAGTATATTTTTATTTGTCCTTTTTTTCTATTTACGATGATACGATTAAATAATTTTCGATCCTTCGAAACCCAAAATCCTGCCTCCTGTCCGCTGCCCTCATCATATCTATCAAACTGAGTCACAGACTTGGAGATTTCCCCATAGTATGGCCCATCATTTTTGCAATGAATTAATGAATCCATGGAAATGCAGATGAATAGAGTGGAGATTTGAGAAGCTAAGGAACAAACAATGTCACATGTAAAGAAATCAATTCTTTGTCTGCAGAGAGATGATGAGAATTGTATAGTAATATGTACAGAGACATCATCACCATTGGGAGGGAAAAATTGTTATCCTTCACTTTCCTTTTCCTCCTTTTGCATGCATTTCTTTTCAGTCGCGAAAATTTTGATGAGATTACTTTTTAAGTGAAAAGAAGACAGAATAATAATAGAGTTATTTGGAAGAGGTATTTCCTTGAATCAATTTACTTTGATTTATCTAGACTTTCATATTATGTTGCGAGAGGTTAAGAAATCGCAGTAAAATGAGAAAATCGAGGATAGTAGCATCTTGAATTTTATTAGTCAAATAGAAAATCATATTATCCACATGCAACCATATCTTTGAAGTTGGTTTTGTATATAGAAGCATTTTTGCTTTTGTAGCAAGAAGTAATGAGGTATTTGTACATGAATGTCTCATTGGGTAGCAAGAAATATTTTTTAATGCAAAATTATTTAACATTTTGTTTATGAATGATTGAAATATTTTTTTAATGCAAAAATATTTAACATTTTGTTTATGAATGATTGAAATATTTAACATTTGAACATTTGAATAACCAATGAGGAAGATGACAATCTGAACTATTTTTTTCTGAAATGAGGAACATTTGATTCAGAAACTCTCATTTTAGAAAAATTAACTTCATTCCAACAAGTGATATTCAAAAGTGGATGTAATTTGTTTCGACAAATTAGTTGGTGTAACCTTTAAGGGAAACTTGTACGCATGCTTTTCAACAAAAGTACGCAAAAAATTAATTGCAACGAGTTGGGTTTCGCACTATGATTGATTAGGTTTATTTAGAAGACATTGAAAAAAAAAAAGTTTGAAGTGAAAAAATAAAAGAAGAAGAATAAGAAGACCGCACATTGGAGTTTGAGAAGAGATAGGAAACATGACTTAAGGTACCTTCTGACTTGCAAGCCGAAGGGTAGCTGTTAATAATATGGTTTTCATGGAAGATCATAATTGAAATAGGGGCATAGTATGTACTGATAGTTATAGAGGGATCCCCAACCCAAAGAATATATAAAAATTTTGTAATCATAATTTCTATTTATTAAAATATAAAGAAATATGTGAAGTAGGTCATATATTAAAGATCACGCTCACACACATGAACTAAATTAATAGACTTTCAAACAAGCTTTCACCATCTTCCTCTTGATTTCAGGAAAGAAATATGAGAAGAGGAACCATAGATAAATGATGAAGTTATAAGGGTGGTTAGACAAACTTTGATAATAAGGGAAAATGGGGCAAATGGCATGTTGAAGTAGCTTTTAAATTTATTTTTTCTCCTTGGTCCATTTTCTTATTCTTCCTATGGACAGCAGTTCTCAAGGTTTGGTCTGGTCCGGTTCGAACCAAACCATTGCATACCCCTATAATATTATCCTAATATTCATGTATCAAAAGCCTAAAGAGCCATTTAAAAGCTAACTTCTAAGCTTTTATTAGGATTAAAGGCTTTTGCTTGAGCGCTTGGTGCAAAACATTTGAACAAAAACTACAATATTTATGGGTTCGCAAGCGTAAAAGCACATTGCTTACATGTTAGCTTAACTTTATCTTATTGTTTGATGTAAGACATATTCATGATCTTAAAGTCCAAATCCATATAAGTCATTTTGCTATCGTGCTCACAAGAGAAACTGTGAAAATATCCTCGCAGAGATGTAAAGTGTAAGAATTCAATTCAATGACCATGCTTATGTTTCTAACTTGACGAGATTGATTGGATTCTCAATAATCCAAATTCTTTAGTTTTATTCAGATAACTAATGAAATGGATGATCTCTTTCTTTTATTTAACTCTATAATAAAACTCCATTACACCCTTTTCGACAGGAATTTTTTTATTTTTTGTAAAAAAACTCGCTTCATTCTTCATGCAAAACATTTCTTCCCCATAATTTATATCTATAATTTATAAATTGGAATTCTATAAAAGAAGAAATTGATGTATTTACTTTTCTTAGAAGACACAATCATAATTTATCGTTTCTTTATTTTTTTCGAATCTACATCATACCAATTTTTCAGCATGGAAGCAATTATCATTTTGTAAATATATTGTCATCGCTTATATCTAAAATTGTAGGAGTGCCCAACGCTCGATACGATAACTAGATAACTAGACACCTTATGAGCTTGTTTCCAAAGTGAACACCATAGTGTTGTATATAAGGATGACTAGATAAAAGGTGTTGTTTTTCTAGTGCCCATTTTTCTAAATAAATAATAAACAAAAAAAAAAGAAGTATGATAAGGATCTTCCTTCTTTCTTGGTGGAGGGTGGGGCTTATACAAAGCAGGGTAGAGCCTGCTGGGTGTTTGCCTAGCTAGCTTCTTTCGAAAGAGTACTGGCAAGCTAACTAGTGTTAGTAATAGTGAGAAGCAACCCATCCCACTCTCACAAAGAGAAGAAAAGAAAAAAAGAGAGAGAAAGAAAGGGAAAGGGTAAGGCTCTTGTTCTTGTTCCTTGTGGTGTTGAAATGGAAGAACATGTGAGCCCATTAGCCATCACTCATCTGCTTCAGCACACACTGAGGAGCTTGTGCAACCATGAAACCTCTCACTGGGTTTATGCTGTCTTCTGGAGGATCTTGCCCAGAAATTATCCCCCTCCCAAGTATCTAATTACTTTACTTGAGCTAATATTATTTATTTATTTTTTTCTCCTCCATTTTCCATTGCCCTTGTTCTTCTTGGATCGTCTTCTCTAGGGAGACAGCAGTATCTATCTAGGTAGCAGTTATAGGATCAAATGCATCTAATCACATTATGATAATATATTCCCTCTTTTTCTTTTTCTTTTTGTTGTTGTTGTTGATATAAAATACTATTGCAGATGGGATGGGCAAGGAGTGTATGACCGGTCCAGAGGCAACAGGAGGAATTGGTAAACCTCTTTTTTTTCTTTTTCTTCTGGAATATATATTGCAATATTATATGTTGCTTTTATTAATCATTAATGTTTGTTTTATGGTTTATATAAGATCCATTAATAAATATGGATATTGATAGTAAATATGGGTATGATTGAGATTGAATGATGATGAAATAATGGTGGGACTGGGAGAGCAGGATATTGGTGTGGGAAGATGGGTTCTGCAATTTTGCAGCAGCAGAGACCATGAATAATGAATGTCCAACCACCACCACCACCACCACTTCTTCTGCTTCTGGTTCTGGGTATAAGTTGCAGCAGCAGCAGCACTATCATCATCATCATCATCATCAAGGGCTGCAGCCTGAGCTCTTCTTCAAGATGTCCCATGAAATCTACAACTATGGAGAAGGGTATTTTCTCTATATACAAATTTATTTTCTGACCGGTTGGAAAGAAGAAAGAAAGAAGAAAAAAAGCAACTAGAAGAGATTGAGAAAATTATGAATGGGGTTTTGTTGGCAGATTGATAGGGAAAGTAGCAGCAGATCACAGCCACAAGTGGGTATTCAAAGAAGCAAATGAGCAAGAGATCAACTTCTTGTCTACATGGCACAACTCAGCTGACTCTGTATGCATCCATCCATCCTTCTTCTCTCTCTGAAATTTCATTCCAGCTAGCTAGTCAAAAACTAGTTAGTTTCCATCCACTACTGATGCCAAAAATGAATCATCTTCTCTTTCTTACATGTATTCACAGCAGCCAAGAACATGGGAAGCCCAGTTCCAGTCTGGCATAAAGGTAAAACTGATTGATAAATAGATAAATAGATAGATCTGACTAGCTAGCTAGCTCTCAGTTGTCATTTTTTTCCTCTCTTTTTGATTTGTGTTTGGTGTTGGACTTTTGGTTTGGTAGACCATAGCACTGATTGGTGTCCGAGAAGGTGTTGTACAACTTGGTGCTGTCCACAAGGTACTCTACGTACATATATTAAGGAATAGATGACCGGTTAAGCAACCGCGGTGTTCGCTAACTCAATTTGTTGGGAGAAATTCATGTATCGATTTTATTACGTCTTCAATTTGTTTGACTGAAGGTGGTGGAGGACTTGAGGTACGTGGTAACGCTGAGGAAGAAGTTGAGCTACATAGAGAGCATTCCAGGAGTATTACTGCCGCACCCTTCTTCTTCGTCTTCTTCTGCTTACCCGATGCTGCCACCTCCGCCGCTACCTCACCATTACGAAGCTGCTTATTTCGGCGGAGGCGGCCCGGTCGTTCCACTGCCGCCGGCAGATGAGTCATTATTCTACGTCGACGGCCAGCAGATGATGATGAATAGTAATAGTAGGTCGTCGTACAAGATAGCTCCTTCGATGAGCAGCCTCCAAGCCTTGCTCTCCAAGCTCCCATCCGTCGTCCCGCTCCCGCAGCCGCCCGACGAGGAAGAGGAGACACGTCATCGAGAATAATGTGATTAGAAAGTGGTTGAAGATTAATTAATTATGGAGAAATGATTGAATGTTTGGATTAGCGCGAGCTCAAAATGGCGGCTTATGGGGATAACGGACATGCATGCATTTGTGATTTTATCCTAGCCACCTAATGATTTTATCGATATTGCGACAGTCGACACAATATCGAGCTGTCGATGAAAGGGCATTAGAAGCCACTAAGTGGGCAGCCCTGTTGTACAACCTCTGTGTAAAAGTACAAATAAAGAAATTAAAACACTCAGACGACAAACACATCTCTTCCAAGATCGCTCCACCTGTCGCATGCGCCACATCACGAGATTGAATCATAATCACACATGATTCGCACTGTTCCGGCAGAACATCATAATCAAAATATGTAATTTATGCGACTAATGGCTCGTGTTTCATTATTATTGCAAAAGTTGACGACTTCCCTTTCCTTTCCATTTTTTCTCCACTTTTTATTTATTAAAAAGAAAATGGTGTTTCATTATTATCATGGCTTGTCGGCCGTACCACGGCCAAGATTCCATTGAGAAGATTTGCGACAATTCTCTCCATCCATATCCACCTCCATGATATAATGGCTTCATGGTTGGCAATGGAAATTCAGGCAGTATCCCACCTTATGTATGTCTATCATCATTACTCCCCCTAGCTAGCTCTTTCGTCTCCACAATACTAACATATTATCTATCTCAAGTAAACCACCGAAACCAGTGGTGCATTCAGGATTTCAGTTGAGGTGGACGAGAATCGGGAAAAAATTGTAAGATACCGTTGTTCAAAACTTTTAAAACAATCATGTCGCATTTTCATATTTCAAAAGGTTTTTAAAAACACATTTATTGTCAATAAGATTGAGAGCAAAGAAGAAACTTATGGTTTAGTAACCGAAGGCATTTCACACGACATAATTGTCCATCGAAGCGATAGTGGATTAAATAGGGAATTATGCGGTCATTTTAGGGATATCGTTCTTAAGGCTAATTAATTGATTGAGTTAAGTATGATAGTAGAAATTATTTTAATTAGTTAGTACGTGGTAATGCTCGATAGAGATAGCTATCCATATAGAGGTATCCAAATTGTAGAAATATGGATTAAATTGATTGGCAAGGGGAATTAAATTTACCGAGGTAAATAGTATAAAATCTTGTGTTTCCACCGGAACTCTCTAAAGTTAATTCCTCAAAAGTACTTCATTTTCAGAGTTTGTTAATTTCTGTATTTCCGCAACTCATCACTTGATTTATTGAAGATTTAGGGTTTTGGTTTCAATGAATCGAAAAGCTTAACTGCTTCTCTCTTCTTCCTCTGTTTATATTGATAGCCTTACTGAAACAGGACAAACACAGCTGTGTCCTTTTACACAGTAAATTCGGAAAACAGTGAAAACAGAAAAAGACAACGGCTAGAAACGGTAAAACTGAAAGGTTCTAATCACTGCATTCCACGTGTTCCTCTTTGCTCCATCTTCTTCAACGGTGTCGTTTGCTTCATTTTGATGAAGAAGAAAACTCTTCTTCTGTTACCCCCCCACAAGCTGGTAGGCTGGGATTCTGGATACCAAGCTTGGAGAGAAGTTCTGTGAATGGACCTGGAGGCAATGCCTTGGTTAGAGTGTCTGCTAATTGGTGATCTGAACGCACATGGAGCAATTTGATCACATCTGCCTGCACTTTTTCTCGAACAATATGGCAGTCCAACTCTATGTGCTTAGTTCTTTCGTGGAAGGTCGCATTTTCTCCAATATGAATCGCTGATTGATTGTCACAGAAAAGTGAGACTGCCTTTTTGTGATCAACCTCGAAGTCCTGCAATAAATACAAAAGCCACTGAACTTCACATGTAGTGTACGCCAATGCCCTGTATTCCGCTTCGCACGAAGAACGCGAGACTGTTGTCTGTTTCTTCGATTTCCAGGATATCAGTGAGCTTCCAAGGAATACACAGTAACCTGTTACTGATCTTCTCGTGTCTGGACAGGTGGCCCAGTCTGAATCACTATAAGCCTTGAGATGAAGATCTGATGCTGATGAAAAGAACAATCCACTTCCTGGTGACTTCTTCAGGTACCTTATGATTCGAAGGACTGCCTTGTGATGTGTCATTCTGGGTGAATGCATGAATTGACTCACCTGTTGAGTTGCGAAGCTGATGTCTGGCCTGCTTGTGGTAAGGTAGATCAACTTTCCCACAAGTCTTCTATACTCTGTAGCATCCACAAGCTCAGATGTGTCCTCAGCACTAAGATGAACTCTGTAGTCCATAGGAGTACTAACTGGTTTGCTGTCCAAAAGACCTGCCTCATCTATGATTTCGAGAGCATACTTTCTCTGAGAGATATGTATTCCTTTCTTTCCTCTAGCTACCTCAATACCAAGGAAAAATTTTAAGACACCAAGGTCTTTGATGCTGAAAGTTTCATGAAGAAAGCTCTTCATCCTGTTTATCTCATCCAAATCGTTCCCCCCCCCCCCCCCCACAATTAAGTCATCGACATAAATGAGAATGGCGGTGAAGGAAGATTCTGTTACCTTGGTGAATAAGGAATGGTCAACAATGCTCTGTGAGTATCCTTGAGATAATAAACAGGAAGATAGCTTCTCAAACCACTGTCGAGAGGCCTGCTTGAGGCCATAAATCGACTTGTGCAACCTGCAGACTGGATTTGGGATAGAGGGATCAACAACCAGACCTTCAGGAAGAGTCATGTAGACCTCTTCATGGAGGTCTCCATGAAGGAAAGCGTTGTTTATGTCCAATTGGTGCAGGTGCCAATTCCTGGCTGAAGCAATAGCAAGGAACAGTCGAACAGTTGTCATTTTCACAACTGGAGCAAATGTATCCTGATAATCCACTCCCTCTTGTTGATTATACCCCTTTGCAACTACTCTAGCTTTCTGTCTCTCAATAGCTCCTGTGGATTTGTATTTGATGCGATAGACCCACTTATTCCCAATGGGAATCTTTCCTGGTGGTAAGCTGCAAACAGTCCAAGTCTTGTTCAAATCAAGGGCATGGAATTCCTGATTCATGGCAGCATTCCATTCTGGATATTGAGATGCCTCTGCATAAGAAGATGGTTCTTTGCTGCAAGAAATGGACAATACAAATTTTGTGTGCTGGGCAGTGAACTTGTCATAGCAAATCATGGACAAGAGACCATGTTTCTTACCTGATTCTGCTGATGCAGAACACGCACTTGCTGAAGGTGATTGGCTGTTGCAGCGAGCTAGGAGATAGCAATGGTAATCTTGGAGACGAGAAGGTTGTTTGAGTTGTCTAGAAGGTCTGTGATGGAGGGCAGGGGAAGGGATTTGTGGTGTTGAGGGACTTGGGGACCGAGGAAGTGGTGATTCAGGTTGAGTGTCTGGTTGAGGAGATGGTGGTTCAGGAGATGAGGAAGGTTGTATGTAATCAGTGTCGAAGGAATCATATGTAGCTGGGTAAATGGATGGAAATGTGGGAGCATCATCCAAATTGGTGGTTGTAGAATCAAAAGGAAACACTGATTCATGAAAAACAACATCTCTTGAGGTTAAAATGTCATGAGTGTCAAGATCATAGAGTTTGTAACCCTTGATCCCTTTTGTGAATCCTAAGAAAATACATTTTCTAGATCTGGAAGTGAATTTGGTTCTGGTGCTTGGTCTGGTAGATGCATAGCACAAGCATCCAAAAACTTTGAGAAAAGAGAAATCAGGTTTCTGTTTGTGAAAGAGTTCATATGGTGTCTGGTTTTGCAGAATGGTAGATGGAGTTCTGTTGATTAGAAAAGTGGCATGTTTTACACAGTCTGACCAAAAATCAAGAGGGAGATGGGCCTGAAATTTCAGTGCTCTTGCAACTGCTAATATGTGTTGATGCTTTCGCTCAAGTTTGGAGTTTTGTTGGGGAGTTTCAACACATGAAAACTCATGAATGATTCCTTTTTCTTGACAAAATACTGGAATATTAAACTCAAGGCCTTGATCACTACGGATTCTCTTGATTTTGGCAGAAAACTGTGTTTCAACATAGGAACAAAAGGAAAACAATTGCTTCCTGGCTTCTGCTTTAGATGAGAGTAAATGCAGCCAGGTCATACGACTGTAGTCGTCCACAATAGTAAGAAAATACTTAAATCCATCATAAGAAGGTTGAGGGGTTGGTCCCCAAATATCTACATGGATGAGTTGAAAAGGTTCTGTTGTGTTGGAAACACTCTGTGGAAATGGCAAACGCCTTTGGCGAGCAAAAGAACAGACATCACAAGGTTCTGTATGATTGATTTCTATGCTAGAGTCTAATCTCTTAAGGTAAGGAACACGAGATTTAGAGATGTGTCCTAGCCTATAATGCCAGAGATCGAACATACTTGCAGTTCTAGAGGCTACTACTTTGGAGTGGGGAATGGTATGGAGTCTGTGCATCTTGTAGAGACCATTGGACAGCTCAGCAGAACCAATCACCTTCATCAGAGTTGTGTCCTGAATGAAATAGAAACAGGAAAAGAAAGTTAGGTAAAGTGAGTTGTTCCTTGTCAAGGTGCTCACAGAGATGAGATTGAAATTAAACTCTGGCACCAATAATACATCATCAAGTATCATATCTGGTGAGAATTGAACTTTCCCAATGTGGGTTGCTGTGACTATATTCCCTGTAGGCAAAGAAATTTCTGCTCCTTGAATGGCTACACAGGAGCTGTATAATGATTTGTCACATATCACATGATCCGTTGCTCCTGTGTCAAGGATCCATACCTCTCCAGTTTTTCCATTGACATTTTGAGGGAGAATGGTAAAACTGCACTTGCCTGTATTGTGACTCTTACTCATGAAGGCAGCCGCTGAATGAGGAGTTGTATGTGGCTGATTGGTTGATGTGGATGCCGAGGTAGGTGATGAATTTCCTTGCTGGATCATGTTGAGCAAGTTTGCATACTGCTGCTGTGTAATTCCTTCATGGTTACCAGTGGTCACGAGGCTTGCTTGCCTTGATGCCCCTTGAAACTGACCTCCACCTCTTGCATTTCGTGGTGTCATTCCCGGTGGCCATCCGTGTTTATGATAGCAAGTATCCTCTGTGTGTCCCTGCATTTTGCAGTATGTGCAATAGGGCCTTTTGCTTCCAAAATTAGATCGACCTCTACCTCTGCCCCTGTATGCTGCATTAGTGCTACTTGGATACCAGTCATTCTTGGGTGCCTCTTCTGGCATTTTGAATCCAAGTGACTGTAGTGCTAGTGCAACACTCTCAACCATTTTGCTGCCATCTTGACTACCATAGGTTTGCCTTTCATGTTGAGCCATTCTGTAGTATACCTGGTCCATGGTTGGTAATGGATCTGAAAACAGAACTTGAGACCTAGGTATAGCATAGTTCTCATTGAGGCCCCTT